TACTAAATACTGACACAGGTTGAACAGTGATAGCAGCAATAATTACAAGCAAAACATCGTTATCAAATTTCTAGTTCAAGTTTATGCCAAGGTCTGAAAATAGAAGCACTAGTTGTACTGTCAATCAACACCATCTAATGAACACTTCTTGAGAGCAGAACTGGCATTAGCAGGGGACAGAAGAAAAAAATAATAAAAAAATGCCTTACATATACAACACATTTTTAAGAAAACAAAAACCAATTTATGTAATCACTTGTAATCAAAATATGAAGAACAGAAATAAGTTAAAATATATAACATTGGAATGTTAAATGAAAGATTCATGGGAGATGATCAAAATACAACTTTACTTTGTGGCTTTTATTATCTATTAAAAATACTTATTAGGAGGTGATAATCTCCCCTTGCCCCTGAATGGAAAATTGAACAGATTTTTCTAATATTTTGGTTCATTCTTCTATAATTGGCAGTAGTTTTATGTCAAAAAAGAGAGTCTTCACTTAGTACACAGAATATTTCCAGTCCCAGATGGTAACCAGATACTTCAGTCTGCATTCTAAGGGGCCAGTCTAAGACATCTTCTTGCCCTGCCCTGCCCTGCGTGAGGTCTCCCATGACCGGTGGCTGCCAGCCTCCACCTTTCTCCTCAGCTGCCACCACCCCCACTGACTGCTCTTTGATCTGCTGCGTAAACATGGGAGGAGGCTGGGCAGCTGAGGGGATAGGGCAGTTGTATTCTGATAGAACGGGTCTGCACTACCTGGGTCTGCAGATGGCTAAAGTTGACTCACTTTCTTGTAGAGTGCTATTAAAGGTTCTTTGGAGATTGCTGTCATCAGAGACCTCTCTCTTGAGTCCCTTTGTCCTAGACAGACACAGATGGTTGCTTGTGACAACCTCTGTAGGTTCTAGGACTTCTGCGTTCATCTCTAACCTGTGGTCACTGGGCCTTCCACACCTCCAGAGAGCCCTTTCTAATGCACCAAAGGCAACCTCATGCTGCCTGCCTTCCACATGACCCCCATCTGATCCAGGGAAGCATTTACACATTTGTCATCCCTCCCAAACCTGTGAGTGCTAGTGGACTGCAGTACAGCTATCTCTGCTTGGTGGCCACTGCCTTCTTTTAGTTTATAGGTAAGAGTTGGTGCAGTTCTCCATGTTTTACCACTGTAAGGAACAACTTCCAAGTTCTCTAGTCCCACAGAAACACCTCCTTAGGCCTGAGGAGAAGGTACAGCACAAGTACTGCCTCTCGCTCTGGATGTGAAGGGAGTGGGAACTCAACAGCACAAACAAATTTCTCCCCAAAAACATCTTCACAGACCCTCCCTCTATACAGTATCTTGATCTCGCCATGAAGTAGAACTGTTCTTCATCATTGACCCTGCACATAAAAACTTCATTGAAATTATCATCTTTAATTGCAGTTAACTATCTGCAGATTTGTCTCCTTGATACAAAGAGAATGTCTTTCCATCTCTATCTTCCCTGCACTGCTGAGCACTGAGCTGGGAACAAAGTAGGTGCACAGTAAAATGTTTGATATATGGACAGATGAATGGATCTGAAATCTCCTTTGGTCGTACAGTAGATTATCAGAAACACTGTAAAATAATCTGTATGGGTAGCCTATTTAATCACTCCCTGGGAGACTAATCATTCTTGTATTTATAACATGCTGGGAGTTTCCCAGAATTTATGTACCCTTGCATAATCAGCCAAGAAATTTGGGAGATGAAACAACACAGGGGAAAAATTAATCTTTTTCGAGAAAGAGATGGATAAGTAAATATAAGATAGCTGAGATTTTTAGAAATGTTATGGGATATCAAATCAAGCCTCATTAAAAAGAATTCCCCAAAGCTGTGGAACTGGGAATATTGTTTGAGTAGTTCATTTCAAAACCCTAAAGCTGCACAGAACAACAAAGAAACAAAAAATGAGATTTAAAATATTTAGCAAATATTCATGTGTTCAACATAGGCGATGGATAAAATGAGCTCATCATACTATTTTTAGGGTTTTTTTGTATGCTTGAACATTTTATCTTAAAAATAATATTTAAAAATTGAAGCTGGGCCCTGGCTGGTGTGACTCAGTTGTTTGCAGCATTTTCCCAACACCGGAAGGTTGCAGGTTCTATTCCTAGTCAGGGCACATACCCAGGTTGTGAGTTCAGTCTGCAGTCTGGGTGCTGATCCCTGGCCCAGACGTGTACAGTAGGTAACCCATCGATGCTTCTCTCTCGCATTGATGTTTCTCTCTTACCCTTCCTCTCTCTCTAAAAGCAATGGAGAAAAAATAGTCCTCAGGTAAGGATTAAAAAAAAAATTGAAGCTGGGTGTCACCAATGTCTTTACCCTGTTTTAGAAATGAGGAGTCAGATGAAGCAATAAATAACAGAAACCATGTAGCCTTGGCCCTCTTATAAGTAAGCCTTCACAGGTGCCATTAATATATTAGCATTACAATAGCCATAAGACTTTCTTATTTGGACTAGGGAGTAAAAAATTAGGGAGCAGGAATTTTTGCTTAGGAATAAGGTAGATTCAGAATTTATAGAAATAGGGGGATATTTAGAGATTACTTCAGCCCGTGCTCTCTCTTTACAAATGAAAATACTGATGTCCCACCCCACCTCAAATGGAATGAAGTAACTACCAATCTAGGACAAAAACCTAGAAAACCTAGGTCTTCTGTATTATGTTTTTTCTTTGTACCATCCTGGTTGGCACTTGACATTGAACAAGAGCTGCCAAGGCATGGAACCTCAGAGAAGGAATGGATGCCACCCTTCAAATGCAGTGCTTTCTTTTGTTGGGTCTCTTTGACTCCATTATTTCTGTTGTGTACAGGTGGGGCCCTCCTTCTTTGTGCAGTAGATGCTCTGAGACAGAGCAGTAGACTCACTAGAGCTAGAGTAATAAGACGAAGGCCAGAGGGGCAGTCACCAACCCCTCAAGAGAGCAGTTGTGTGAGGCTATTATACTCTACTTTGAGAAAGCTGTGTGTGCTGCTAATTAGAGCATCGCCTTGATCTAGAGAGAGGGAGAATTAGCAGGCCTGGGCCCATGGTATTTATTACATCTCTGCTTCTCACCTCATTAATTCTCCAGCCAAGTACAGGATCCAAGGGGCTCAGGGGAGGATATATACCACTGGGCCATGAATGTGAGTCACACAGTTCTAGACACAGGAATCAGAGTTTGAGAGGTACTGACTGAAACGAGGTTAGGTCTAGACAAGATTTGTAAGCGACTTGATTTTCCTTAGGGTCTTCCCTGATGGTGGTCAGGAAGGACTAAGGCTCACAGATGAACTCCTTCATTTTGGATCAGCACACCCCTATGTTTGGAGGTTTAATGTTCTTTAGCACCCTAATATAGTTTTCTGGTTTAGAGGCAATGGGCCCAGAATCAAACCATTTCAAGTTCACTGATTTGGTCAGATGCCTTAGAATAATTTGGTGGGTGGGGGTGAGAAACTCTAGCTTCCACATAATCTCACTCAAGTCCCTTCAAACTTTCCCAAGTAAATCTACTAATTAAAAACCATGTAGTTAATATGTAGCTACAGTTTCAAATCAACCCTCCAGACTTCCTCCCAGTCAGAGGGCTGCCCCTGAACCACTCTCCCACATTGACATATTTTATGTCAATGACCAAAGCAGCCTTCAATCCAGATCTGGGATCGGTGGCTTGCGGGCTGAATGTTGCCTGCTTTTAAACATGATTCTTTAAAAAAAAAAAAAAGCGCCAACATTTGCAATTTGGGAGAGTTCACTTTTTACAAATCTGGATTTTAGCTTCTTTTGGAATATTAGATGATCTCATCACAGCAGAGAGGCCGGAGGTAGGGGATGCATTCCTGCATGGCAAAAATCCTTTGCATTTGGAACTCAGAGGAGGCACACCCACCACCTGAGCTTTTCCGGTTGACCACTCCCCTCACTGATGTGAATAAATTGTCCGAGCCCTGCTTGACTTTCAAAATGGTTAAATTTTGTTGCTTAGAAAAGGCTTTGGGAAGTGGGTGCTGGGGCACTATCGGTTAAAAAGGCTGCCAGGTAGAGTCTTTGGGGCTGCTCACCATTTACATGCACCATTATGTGCTACTGGCTTCGAAATGTCAGCAATTTTCAAATGGTGTGCCGCTAGAATTTTTAAAACTTGCAATACCTGACTGTTTAGTCAGGGACACAGACCCCTTTTCCCTTAGATTAGCAAATAAAAAATGACAGCCAACACAATAGTAGCCGTCCTGTATGAATGAATTGAAATTGTACCTATTTTTTTGGTCAGGTCAGAAAAAATATACTTTTTGGTGTATGGCAGAATTTTAGTAATTAGTGTATGTGTGCCAGGAGATGAACAAGGTTGTAAATCACTGCTTCATATGAAGAGTACATCAGAGGTGTCAGCATCTCTCTGAGTGGTACCTGTTATTGTCAGCATGTACCTCTTTTTCAGACCTCAACATTTGGGCTACTACCTATGCGTTTTGGGTTGTCGCTGATCTTTGGTATATAGCTCCTTCCAAGGGAGGGGTGACAATATCCACGAGGGTTCCAAGGAGCATAAGTGCGTTCCAGTGTTATGAATAATTCTGGAAGTCTTTTATTTGGTAAAGACATTTCTTACTAACATTTCAGTCTCCTAACCTAAACAACTGAACTAGTGTAGCGACTTTGGGAATAATCTGTGGAGGTGACCAGGCCCGATCTCAGATGGAGACAGTGGGAGGCGGCGGTTGGGGCAATGAGGCATGAATGGACCCACTGCAGGATTGGCCCAGGCAAGTGCGGTCCCCCAGGTCCCCCAAAGTCGGCACAGCAGATGGGCTAGAGAGCTTTGTCAGCTCCGTGGCAGCCTCCCGCCCCCAGCAGCGGCCGAAAGCGCCACATTGCGCCTGCGCGCAAAACCTCTAAGCTAGGGGAGAAAGTGACCAGTGAAATAGGCCTGGGTAGGACCGAGGATGCTTCAGGAGTCTGCGCAGGCGCGTCCCGCCTACAGACACTTATCGCTGCGCAGGCGCCCATCCTAGCCGCTCTCCAAGTCCTGTAAACAGAGGGGCCCACTGGTGACAACTTCTGCTTCCGGGTCACGATTTGACAGCCGCTCTTACGACCCTGCTCAACCCCAGGATTTGGTGAGTGCCGCCCTTGCTGCGTGAATGCCTGCATCCAGGTTCCCTAACCCGGCGCAGCATACCCAGTAACGCTTCATCCTTTCCCTGCTCGGCTCCCGTTAGCCCTGGAACCTGAGACACCGTCCCGGCCTGGGCAGATTGGGGAGGGGGCTGGTCCTCCTCTGGGGCTCCCGCGGCGCAGATTGCGTGAACCTCTCAAAGCACTGGCTCCGGAGGACCTGCCGGGGTTGCTGCAATCTATGGGGAGCCCATTTGGAAAGTGACACCACACGTCTTGCATTTCGTGCGCTTACCCTCCATCCCTTAACCCAGGCGAGATGAGGCTGCCACGAGCCCTTCCTCAGCGGGTGGGATGGGGGTTGGGAGTCCCTCTGGCTGGGCCGAGGGTCTTTCCGCCCCGTCGGAAGCCGAGGCTTCCTAAGCACCAAGCACCAGAGCTGTTGAATGTTGCTTCTCTTCCATTTTGCTTCTAGCTTCGCAATAAAAACCCCTGGGTGTTTTCTCTGGTTCCAAAATGAAAGAAAACGGGGGAGAGAGGGCTTTCAGCTCCAGCAGAAGAAAGGGGTCACTTAGAGGTCAAGTTTAGATTTCTTTGACCTTTCCTGACAGTGACTGTTGTCCATGTGCCCCGAGCTTCACTCCTCACCAGGAACTGGTCATATTCTGAGTTAGGAGTTCCAAGAGAGCAGCAAAAATGCAGGGTTTATTTAGTGTCTTCAGATTGTTACTGCCCAGAAATGGTTAACAAAACCACTTCACTCTAAGCCTTCCACCTTCGATGGTTTGTCTTCTGTCCCCACTCTTGGAGTCCTGACTTAACTGGATCTCTGTCTTTTCATTTTTCCTTACAACAAAGAAGTGTAAGAAGCAGACCATTGTCTCTGAGGAGCATAGCGGCTGTTGGAGAAATTATGCCAATTCTAAACCATCAAGGAAATTTCAGAGAAACATGTAAACAAGAGTGTAAGCTTATTCATAATAAAATAGGGGAGCAGAATTCCCAACCGGGATTATTGATACCTATGAATTGAATATGTTTAACTTGCATTCTAGTAATTAGTACTGTATATATTTAAAACAGGAAAATGGCTGGTGATTAGCAAAGTAAAAATGACTAGAGTTTATAGTATGTTACATAATTTATGCGGGGATACTCTATCACAAAAAGCAAAGGTTACGTAGCATTCAATGACCAAAGTAATTTTAGGACTTTTCTCTTGGTAATTATCATATGCATAACATGTTTAATAACAAGTTTTGAATTTTTTAAGATCCAAAGTAATAAACTTTACATCAGTTCAATAAATATTTATTGAGAACCTACCATGTGCCAGGTACTATTGAAAACAACACTATATTTACCCCCAAGGAACTTACAGTTTAATAAGAACATGGACTCTAAACAGTTACACATAGAGAAGTGATACTGTGTACCATATTTCCTATATAATTTTTGATATACGAGGTCTGTCTGGAAAAAGTTTAGCCATTGTTGAAAAAGTCTAGCCATTGTTAATATAATGAGAATCATTTGTGCAACATCAGTGTAACCTGGCAGACAAGGGCAAGTGGACTGGAATGTGCATGCATGAACAATGACAACTTCACTGTACTAGTCAGTGGGGGCAGTAAACACTGGTGTGTGAGCATGTGTACTGTGTGGCCATCGCATTCAAAATGACTGAGCGAGTAGAGCAATGAATCTGCATGAGTTTTTGCATTAGGCTTGAACATTCCTCCACTGAAACTATTTGGATGATTCAGAAGGCCACAGCTATGGGCAACTGGTGATTGGCAGCTTCATCACAACAATGTGCCCACTCATGCATCACGTCTCATGCAGAGTTTTTGTGCAAAACATCAAATCACCCAGGTGACTCAGCCCCCCTACAGCACAGATTTGGTGCCCTGCAACTTCTGGCTTTTATCAAAATTAAAACCACCTTTGAAAGGGAAGAGATTTCAGAACATCAGTGAAATTCAGGAAAATACAGGAGGGCAGCTGATGGCAATTGGAAGAACTGTGTGAGGTCCCAAGGTGCCTACTTTGAAGGGGCATGAGGTGTCTATCTTATGTGCAATGATTCTTATATCTTGTATCTTCATTAAATGTCTCTGTTTTTCATATGACATGGCTGGATGCCTTCTGGACAGACCTCGTGTGCTTTTTCATGGAAATGTCCCACCTTGTTTGCTGTAATTGTAAATGTTTCCCAACTAGTACGTGGCTGTTATATAGTCAAAACTTCTACCATAGTTGAATTTAAGTATATTGCATTTTCTTCTCCTATCCTAGAACTCTCTGTCACATGATTTCAACATATATTTGCCCAAATCTGTTTCTCAGTTGTCACAGATGGCCAATTATTAAGATTTTTAACTCATTTTGCACTCATATCTGCTTATTTTCCTACAACTGCAAGCATGTGTCATTGGTGCGAACTTTGAAATTTTTTTCTAATTTCATACAGATCACTCCAGAGCTGTACTTTTGCGTCCTTTCTTATTTTAAAATATTATGTCAAATATTTCCCATTTTCTTCTTTGCTGAAAATATTTTAAACTATTTCACAGATGCCTTGTCATTAACAAAATATATTTGTTCCATAGCTTTTCCCCTCTCTTCTCACAGGTGGCAGTCACTTCCATGCCCTTTAGCCAGTCAACCAACCAATATGTATTAAATACCCACTTTTTGGGAGACTGTGGACATGGAGTATCCACATGGGCAAGAAGTAGAAGACAAGGACCTTGCCTTCCCATTGATTACAACTTAGATGGAGAAACCCTACAACTGTAATTGTACTGCAAGGCCAAATGTAACAAATAATCTAAATGTGGTGCTGATTAAGACCACAAAATTCAGAGGAGGAAAATAATTTTTTTTGGCATCTTCAGCCTTTAAAAAAATCCCCTTCCTTGTGTACTCTTGTTTTAAAACACACGGAACTCCATGCATGGGGGTCTTGGGGAAATGTTGTACTGTACTAGGTCAGGGAGTGGAGCTGAGGTCCTAGGGGTCAGGTCATTTGTGTCCGCTTACCCAGCCCCCTAAGCAATTATTGTTAATCCATTTCCTTATGATTAACAGAAAATGATATTAACTGATCACAGATCTCTTTGAAATCTACTTTTAGTATTAGGAAGGCCTCAGGTCCGGGACTCTCACCCCTGAGGACAGGTAGTTCAGTGATATTGTAAAACTTCTTTGTTCCAGGCAGTCTGGAGCATGTGAACACACCCTGAGCCTTGATGAGTTCCAGTATGTGGTATATTATGCAGAGCATTCAGAGCAAATACTCTCTCTCAGAGCGCTTAATCCGGACAATCGCTGCCATTCGTTCCTTCCCACATGACAATGTAGAGGACCTCATCAGAGGGGTGAGTGTGCTGTTGCCCACACGCGAGTCCTTGGGGAGGTGAGATAGGAAGGTTCCTGGGGAACCCTGATAGATTACAGACTTGCAGCTTTGACTCAGCTCCAGACGCGTTTTTACAATCTTCTTAAACGTGACCATTAAAGTATATTTTCTCTATGTTTTTCTTCTCTTTCTCTCTCCTTTTCACTGTGGGCATCTGATATTTTCCTTCAGGAAATATGTTCTAGATAACCCCAGTCTCATGGTCTTTGTAAAATGTCTGGATATGGTGCAGAGATCCCATGGGATCCCGCAAGCCCAGAGCCTTCTACCCAGGTCACGCTGAGGGAGGAAGGGGACCAGGGAAGCAGAAGTGGTTTTTGGGTCCTTGTGGTTTATGATTACATGGAGAGAGATCATCTGCCTCTGTCTTAACAGCTGCTACTTCTGGTTCTGTAAAGAATAGTATCAACCCCCTAAGATGCATGGTAATTGTTGGGTTAAGAAAACACCTTACTATCTGACATTTAACCACTGCTGTTCAGTATTTCTGTGACATGACCAGCGTATCCTAGAAGGTGTGTGATACTTTTTTCTGTATATTATTCCTGTTGAAGAGAAGTTACAAGGTAATTCTTTTGTCAGGAGATGTATCTAGATGGTTACTTCTGTGCATTCTTTTTAACAATTTTAGAATCCTTATGCATTGCCTAGAACTCAGGAGCTGCTTCAGAGCAGAGTGGCACAGCCGTGAGAAGAAAGTCATACAGTGTTAGCTTGTGCTTAGTAAAAATGGTATCAGAAGGCTCAGCGGTAGAAATTTTGTCACGTCGTAATTCTAGCTCCACTGCTGAGTCATCCAGTGACTTTGGTCTGTCTGTGGTATCTCCTCTCCTTCCTCAGCTTTGAGAAAGAAGTACCAGCAGGGGCGATGTGGCAGAGAATGCTGATATTAAGAGCCTACTTTGAAAATGCCTGTAAACAAAAAGATAACGTTATGATGACCTCACTATTAGTGATGGTCTTCTGTTGAATGGCAAAAAGAATGTTCCAGTTCTCCTGGCTTCAGTCTGACAGACTCTCCTGACTTTTTCAGAGCACGGTAGCCACAGAAAGCTTTTCCTGCTTTCCTGCCTGAGGATAAGGGTCCCACTGTGTTCACATGTCAGGTTACGTCCTTCGTGATGTCTGAATGACTTTCCAGCAGGCTATGCCGTGGAGAAAATAACTCGATTTAAGGACTTGAAAGTTCTTTTTATTCTTCAATGTTTTCACTTGGTTTGGATATTAGCATTAAAACATTACTTAATTAATAGGAGTAGAAACTGGGACCACTAGTCTGTTTACAGGAGAGTCAGAGTTAGGACCCTCTGCCCGCCCCTCCACCCCTCTTAGTTTGGTCCTGCTCACTGAGTCAGAGCGCCCGCACTGACCGAAGTCTCTTTCCGCGCAGGGCGCGGATGTGAACTGCACCCACGGCACGCTGAAGCCCCTGCACTGCGCCTGCATGGTGTCGGACGCCGACTGTGTGGAACTGCTCCTGGAAAAGGGAGCCGAGGTAATGTTTCCAACACTGCCTGCCGCCTTAGTGACTCACTAAACTCGAGCGTCACGTTTTCTTAGAATTTGTCTCTTCTCCCATCTCTTCCTGCCTTCTAACTCATGGTAACATCGGCATAGCCAATATTAAAGAAAAATATAGTGACAAATATATAAAATTATCCTAGGATTTCGTTCCTTTGCCTTTCTTTCTTAAGTTGTTCATGGCTCCAGGAAGAGGGAATTTTGTTTCCCCTTTCTCTCCTCAGCCTTTTTTTCTGGGGTTGTTTATACTTCTGTTTAATCTTTTTATTGCCTTTTGATTCTCCAAGAGCTGTAAGTGCAGAGGGCCCTCATCTAAAAACCGTGTCAGACCTGCTGTGAGACGTGTAATTTTAATACCATCATCGCTGGAAGATACATATCATTTGGCAATCCCTTCCTCAGAACTGGGCTACTGATGCTATTTCTATATTCTATAACTATGTTGGCAGTTTTGGCTCTTGGAGAGCAGTCTTGAACATGCACACGCCGAGGCACTAATTTGTATCAGACATGATGCTATGAAGCTGGGGTGCAGGCCCCAAACACACCGGTGCATCTGCCTGCCACACAGCCGTGTCTTTCTCTGCTGTCATTCTGTGTTCCACAGCTTTCGTGAGGGGCCCTGGAATGAAAGCCCACTGTTAAAATCGATGATGAAAGTAAAAGTATCTTGGGGTGGGGAGGGGAGGAGTTTTTAGCTCAGTTAAACTCAGTTGAATATTTCAGTTTTTCTTTATCACATTTTATGGGGGAAGTTAATATACTATATATAAATTTGGGTTTTGAAGTCTGCAGCCTTCAAAAACTATAGGTGATGCTGATTTTTAGCAAGCCAGCGGCTTTCCCAGAATTGGGGAATTTGTGCTCTTTGTTTTCCACACTTCTGTCCAGGTTTTTGCAAGAGGCTGACTTGGATTAACAAGCTGAGCTTCTCTGCATGGCGAGAGAGCACAGCAGAGCTCCTGGGCAGAGCTTTGTTTGGCTCAGTACTTTTCAGTACGGTCGCCTTTAGCGGCAGGATAGGGTGAGTCGGGATAAAGGAAATCATCCAAAATCTTTACTCTGGCTAGTATATTCAAGCTGCTTTCCAACAGATGCCTTTTAGAGTAGTTACATGGACTTAGACTTCATCTTCTCCTCCTTTGGCCCTTACTCTCTGGTAGAGATTCTAGCAAATAATAAATAAGAATAAAAAACTATATACTGAAGAACACCTAAATAATGCAGGCCGGCTAGTCAGTGCACCTGGTAGTGCTGGTGGTTTGGGGACAGTTCTCTTTCTGTTTGTCCCTAAGCTCCTATCCTTCCTCTGCCTCAATCACCAGCCCCCTCCCCTGCCCCATTGCTTGTTGACCTTGTTCCAAAAATCACAAAGCTAGTGGATAAACATGCAAGCTTCTTTGCCTGCCTGTCGTACCCTCAATAGTCAACCTACTCTAATCTAGCTCCTCCCTCTCTACAGGTGAATGCCCTGGATGGTTACAACCGAACAGCCCTCCACTACGCAGCAGAGAAGGATGAGGCTTGTGTGGAGGTCCTATTGGAGTACGGTGCAAACCCCAATGCACTGGATGGCAACCGAGACACCCCACTGCACTGGGCAGCCTTTAAGAACAATGCCGAATGTGTGCGGGCCCTCCTGGAGAGCGGGGCCTCTGTCAACGCCCTGGATTACAACAATGACACCCCGCTCAGCTGGGCTGCCATGAAGGGGAATCTGGAGAGCGTTAGCATCCTTCTTGATTATGGCGCGGAGGTCAGAGTCATCAACCTAAAAGGCCAGACACCCATCTCGCGCCTGGTGGCTCTGCTCGTCAGGGGACTTGGAACTGAGAAAGAGGACTCTTGCTTTGAGCTCCTCCACAGAGCTGTTGGACACTTTGAATTAAGGAAAAATGGCACCATGCCACGAGAGGTGGCGAGAGACCAGCAGCTGTGTGAGAAACTGACTGTTCTGTGCTCAGCCCCGGGAACTCTAAAAACACTCTCTCGCTATGCCGTACGCCGCAGCCTGGGACTGCAGTATCTGCCAGATGCAGTGAAGGGCCTGCCCCTGCCCGCTTCTCTGAAGGAGTACCTGCTGCTTGTAGAGTAGCCTGGAGGAGATGCTTGCACCATCACGCAGGCAAACACAGGCATGCAACTCGGGGTGAGGGTTTCCCCCGCACTACTATCTCTTTGTCTTGGAAAACAGGAAAAACAGCTGTTCCTGTTGTGTGGTTTATATTTTGAGGCAACGTGTCATAACGGTACCTTCCACACCATCTCCTCTCCCCAAAGCAATCAGCCAACCAAACAAAAAAGTCTTTCACTTCTGTTTTCTGTTTACTTGCCTTTTTATATCGCACCCCGCAGAAATGAGGTTCCCCCCACCCCTCCCCTTTAGGGAAAAAGTCAGCAGTGCAACCTGATTTCTCTAGGAAGATGGAAAGTACAAAGTACTTAAAGAATGTGTGTTTGGTTTTTCTTTGGGGACTTTGGAAGTAAGTTTGGATTAACACTTTGGAAGAATCCTCTAGAAGCATTTTAATTGAACTGTGAGAAGTTGGAGAAAAAGCCAGCTAACATTGTGGCCCAAAGACGAACGTACTACAGCCTCAAAGAGGGTGCAGATTGAGAACGGGGCTGGATGGTCCCCCCAGAGTGCCACACCACTGGGCATTCCGAAGGGCCTGGCCCCCTTTCTCACAATGAAAAGAAAAAAAAAAAGAAACAAGGCAAAGAGGTCTTTGCCTCTTTTCTATAGTTGTGCCCAAGTATTACAGTAATTCAGCAATATTATTTTAGAAAGATTGTCTTGCTGCTTTCCACACAGTAGGAGAGACAGCGGGTTCTAGGCAGTCCTAAGTACTTTCTTCTAGTGCAGTTCCTCCTCTTCCGGAAAGCCAGTTTGCCCTAATGGCTTGTCAGGCATTTCCTGCGCCAGACGAAGGGGTGTACTCTGGCTGGGAGGAGCTGGGCTGGCCTTTCCCGTGGGTCTTCCTCGTCCCCCAGATGAAGCTCACTCTAAGGGCTGGGGGTTACTTTCAGGTGTTTTGGAATATTTGCTCTTCACTGATCTGTACAGGACACTGGTGGAGGGAATGGAGTTGGGGGCTGGGGAAAGAGCATCATAAGAGCTTTTCTGAGATGGCCGCCTACCCAAAAAAAGATGTTTTAGTGAACAATGTTTAGTTGACAATATGCCTCTTCATGTTCCTAAACTAGATCAAGTTATTACTGATCTTCAATGACCTGTATGCAAATTTGAAAAACTAAAAAAAAAAAAAAAAAAGCCAATTGGGAACTACAAGTAAACAATCTGCCGGCATAGCCGATTTAAAGAAGTGTATCTGCTTTTGCCCTATTGCTATTGGTGTTTTTGCTTACTTAAAAAAAAATAAACAATTCTAAAGCAACTTTGGCAATTTCTCCTGTTCCTACTTTCTGCACATTATTTAAACACTCTGAGCTCCAGTGCCCTCCTCTCCAAAACGGGGCTGTCACCACCCTGCTCACAGGCTGTTTGAGGACTCACTGACAACAGTGCTTGATATGTATCATTAATTCCTATACAAAGAGCATTTGGCTGCTCTAATGCTGGCCTCTGACCAGCCTTCTCGGTCACTGCACTTAGATCGTTTTTAGGGTAGAGCAGTAATACTTCGAACAGCCAGTGAAAGTGATGTACTAGAAACAATCCCTTCTCCCACCCCTTGTAAGCCTGAACCTTCTTCCTGCTTCATCAAGCAAGCGAGGAAACGGTGCGTTGGGAGGACTATGCGCCTGTGCGAGCCAGGACCTGGTTATTGGCGCTGGAGTTCAAGCCCGGCATTCGCAGGGCACCATGCTGACCCTTTGGGGTGTGATTTGTAGCCCCAGTCCTGAAGGCCAGAAGCAGCACTGGAGCACTTGGCTAATAAGGAGGTAGAAGCTATTGTTATGGAACAGAGAAATTAAGCTGAATAAGAACTGACATCTTTCCAAAACAGTATTTCAACCAAACCAGGTTCCAGACTGGGTGTCTCAATTTCCCAAGTTTCCTAAATGTGTACTTCTCCCCACAAACGACATCTGGCTCTCATCCGGGAAGGAGGATTTGGGGCAATCAGTGGAGGAGGAGAGATCATGTTGGAAAAAAGCAACTCTGGGTAATGGGTGTATGGGGTACATGGTCAACAGGTGAAATACAACTCTGGCTCAAGGGAGACCGGAGCATCGTACTGGTGCTTGAGGACACAGGAGCGACCTGTGCGGGATGAGGGTGAAGACCAGTGTCCTATGTTCTGGGACCCTGTGTACAGAGCCCAGAGACGGCGCAGGAGTCCATGGGGCGACTGCACAGGCTGCACCTTCCCAGCGCTCCGTCTGGGCGGAGTCTGGTTGCACTACATTCTATTTGTGAAGGTCATAACAGGAGATCCACGAGCACAGTGACCAGTTGGCATTTATTAGTGTAGTTATTGTTTGTCACTGTAGCAGAAGTAGTAGAGGAACTAGGACTTTGTTATCACAAAGAAATAAATAAAGCTTATTTTTAGGAAAGTTCTAACCGAGTAACTGAAATCTAGCAGTGGCACTAGATGAGCCCAGCCTTGTGTGATGAATGAAGCTGGGGTAGAAGTCACGATAAATTCTACCTAAAACAAGCTTTCACTCGTTGCCCCCTAGCCAGAGCTGACCTTGTCTGCAGTTACAAAGTAGAAGGAACCCTAATGAAAAATGAGCTAGAACACTTGAGAACATATGGACGTGTGGATCTGCCAGGGATGAGCTGTCCGTGAGGAGACCACCCGTTCCCCTCACCCCAAAGACGTCTAGACAGGAGCTTCTCCGGACCGCTTCCGGCTGATGTGCTCCAGGTGAGCGTGCTCCGAGGTATCCAGGTCGATCTCGTATTTGGCTAGGATTTTGAGGATGGGCCTCAGCTTCAGCCACCACTGTTCCTTGGGGATGCGGTGCCTACAGGGAAATGAGGTGGATGATTTAATCTTTCAGGAGCGCAATCAACTTCTACCAAGGGGTTACGGGGAGAAGGTGAGCAAAAGAGCCTGGATTTAGGGCACAGGCATCAGATCTTAAGTAGGTACGACTACAGGTGTCACTCCTAAAAGAAGGACTGAAGACAGTGAGCAGATTGGAGACCTTGACGTTACCAGGGAGAGAACCGCTCCAGGAAGTAGATATACTCACTCAAAATCAGTCTGTTCCTTCAGCTCCGTCACTGGCTGAAAGACCAGGGACCTCTTGCGCATCCCTAGAACGCAGCCCGAGTCTGGAGTGTTGGCAAAGATCCGCCCTGCAAGAAGGGACAGGTCCGTCAGGTTTCACACTGGGGATCCAGCCTCCGGGGAGGGGCCGCTCCCTCTTGCCCTGCCCCACCTACCATTACGGTAGCTCTCTTTGATTTTCCCCGTCATCCAGTTCATAGCCTTGGCGCCCATCTTAGTCGCAAAATTCCTGTCAAACGGAGTTGGGCTCCCACCCTAGAGAAAGAATTACAGAGGGTAGGACTCTAAGTAGCAGAGGTATCTGACAACACAAGAGAAAAAGGAAAGAATGGGCCCCAGGTTTGAAGCCAGAAACAGGAATCCAGAAATCTAATTATGAGAGGAAATTCTAAAATGGCTTTGGGATGCGGGGGGCGCTGGCCCAGCCTATCTGACCACTTGTCAGGTGGAAGGGTTACTGGTAAGTCGAAGGGGTGACTGGTCTCACGATGGCCTTTTTCAGCTCCATGGCGGCCAGATCCCGTTAATGTGCTTCTGGTCCTACTGTCCTCCCAGTCACTTCCCCACCCCTCTTTGACCTGGCCGCTTTTGTCAGTCCTCACCATCAAGGACATCCACGTGTTCCTTGTGGCCCCGTCTGGATGCCCTCGGTAGCACCTCAGAGTAATATAAAACATGTAGATTTTCCCCCCAGAACTAAGACAAAGTAGGAGGGGAAGTGGGAAGAAGAAACAGGAAAGAGGTCTTCATACTTTAATTAAGTACCTCCTCCTGCAGGGACCAATAAGCTCAAACTGAGATACTGGAAACCTGTTTGTGGGTAGAGATCAAAGGTCAATGCCTAAGTAGCATCAGCTGGGGACATACGGGGTGCAGAGCCGCAGACCACTAGTACCATCAGTGAGCCAGGCCTATCTTGGGCAGGGATTGCATGTGGGCAGTGGACGTGGGTGGTGGAAAGGAATTGTTTTTTATCTAGGTATGCCTTTATTTTTATTTTTATTTTATTTTTATATTTTAATCATTGTTCAAGTAGTTTTCTCCCTTTTACTCCCAATCCAGCCCACCCACCCAACCCTCCCCACTTCCCTCCCATTGCCACCCTCCCCCTAGTTTTTGTCCCTGTGTCCTTTATACTTGTTCCTGCAAACCCTTCCCATTCTCCCCTGAAATTCCCTCTTCTCTCCCCTCTGGTCACTGTCAGCCTGTCCTTTATTTCAGTGTCTTTGGTTATACGGAAAGGAATTCTTTTCCCTTGAAACCCAGGCAGCGGGGACGGAGCCCAAGAGCAGCAGGTGCCTGAGCTCGTTCCACAGGTTCCATGTGAAACAGGACGTTGGGAAGAGCAACGGACGAGGCTCATCCTGGCTCTCATCCAAGCTTAACAAATGGCCCGGAAACAAGTGATTCTCCTCTCTGGGGCTCATTTCCTTCATTGCAGTCAGTGGTTCTCAACTGGAGACACTGTTGCCTTCCAGGGGACATTGGCAATGTCTGGAGACCTATGTAACTTGTTACTCTTCGGAGTGGAAGTGCTACTGGCATCTCGTGGGTAGAGTCCAGGGATGGTGCTAAATTATGCTGCCAGGCACGGTACAGCCACCGTGACAGAGAATTACCCTGATCCGAATGGCAACGGTGCCGAGGTTGAGAAACCCTGCCCTAAATGAGGAGGATGGGCCACACAATCTCTAAGGCCATCTCCAGGGTGAACACGTCCCGGTTCTGTGACCTGTGACGTAAGACTAGAAGCTCAGGCGCTTTGGCGGCACCGGGAGCCTCCGGCACGTAAGAGGCCAGTGGGAGCCACGGTGGCTGGTGGGGGACATGGCTGTCTGGTGTAGGGCGTGACTGGGGTGTCTCCTACCTGCTGCATGTGGCCAAGCACATTCTTCCTGCTGTCGAAGATGCCCTTGCCCTCCTCAGAGTACAGGTTGAAAATGAAGTCAGTGGTGTAGTTCTCATTGCACTTCTCATTCCTGCCAGGGAGAGGCCAGAAGCCCGTGACTTCGGTTGTTTCCTCACCCCGCCCCGCACTCCGATTCTGCCTTTGTGGCTCCGTCTTGCCCTTTTCTCTCCTCCCGTGGTTCAGGTTCTCTCCCTTTGCATCTACAGATTCCCCAGGGTCCCAACCATAGACCCATTCTGTGGGCTGGGGCCAAAGCCTGGCTATTTTCTCTCTTCACTTAGGGACAAGCCGTGGATGAGGTACCTTAACACCAAGCCCCTTTTCACAGTTGTCTTCATCTTTTGCACCAGATGTTCAACATTCGCCTACAAATGAAACAATAAATCCTAAGCCTGGTTGGGGGTGGACAGGGTCCGGCAAGTGCCGCGACCTCTTCTCCCCCACAGACCTCTCCCCAAGAAGGAAGGACACAGGAGAGAGCTGTTGGCACTCCTGGGCCTGAAGCGTGCCTGATCGCTTTACGAAGTTCAGTGCAGACTGGAATTTAAATGAGGACTCCACATGAGACAGGCAGAAGTGTAAGAAGGAAAGTTGGAGACAGCTGTGGGGACTGTCGGTTTTCAGCCCCCTCCCACCTCCACTTCAATTTCCCTTTCTAGGGGTCTCTGCTTCCCTCAGAGGACGGACTCTGCTCTCCGCATTGGTCGGTCCTTAAGGGAGCTGCTCGTTTGTACAGCGGTGATTCTCCCAGGAGGAACCAGTTCCTTCCTAGGGCTTGGAGTTGCAGATGGGAGAGAAAGAGCCCCGCCCCCCACTCCCGGCAGGAGCTGGCTAGGCTCTTGGATCAGGGAGCTCCTCCAGCCTGCCGCCCCCTCTGCAGTGTGGCTCTTCTTTCCTCTGTGAACTGGGATCTTGGGAAGTAAGGATCACACTGTCCCTCTGTGACACAGGAGTCAGGGCCGAACCCCGTTGGTGAAAGGGTATCGCCTCCTCAAAAATGGAGTGAGAAGAGTCCGCTTTGGTAGCAAGGGAACCTGGGAAGGGTGGTGTGATGTAGTGGAAAGATCACCAACTTTCTCAATCAGTTAGGAGTTTAGAAAAGTGTTTAACCTCTGTAAACCTTTCTCATCTGTAACATGGGGACAGGATCTCCCTTTCGTGTCTGTTGTGAAGATAAAATGAAAACCACACACAAAAGGTTGAGCAGCACAAACGCTCCAACTACAGACGCGGTGGTCATGGACGTGAGGTTACACTAGGGGGTGCCTGCTCGGTGCTC